TGTACAATGATCCCGTACGCTTGCAAGTTTTGTCCGAACATCAATTCAGGCATATTTCTTCATACGTAGTGAAGAATGTAAAGAGTATTGCTACGTTTATGTCGGTAATTTCTTTAGTAAGATGGTGTTGTCCATAAACTTGTTATAATCCAACAGTCCCTACATAAACAAGCTCAAGCAACAGGAGAATCTCAAGCAGAATGGAATGTGGATATACTGATTCATAGCATTCGATACATGCCGACTTGAAGATAGCTAACAAGCAATACCTACAAGATGAAAATTAGAAACACGAGAAAATATTAGCCTCATGTCATCTGACAAAAAACAATATATATGCTTTTGTGATTGACATGCATGCCTGGATGGGAATAACGGTTCAAAATCATAAAAACAATAGGCCTTTTTTGATTAAGCTTCCCTCTGTAGCAAAAATAGGTTGTCTTCTAGTCAACTGCCCTTGTCTTGATTTCTCTAGCTATGGTTGTCAACTATCAACATTATCATCCTCGTTCTTATCCTCCTCTTCAACACTATAATCCTCACCACTGTCCTGATCCCTTTTGATATCTTCCATTCCATCTTTCTCGTCATCAATCCCTGCTTTTTTATCTTCAATTGAAATTGATCCACAGGGAGAAACTGGAATTTCACCAGCTTGCTTTTCCAGGTTTGCTTTATTGCAGAAGTTCTGAATAAGATAATGTGCCACAGATCTGAAACCAAGTCGCTCTACCTGAAATTAACAGTTTATGATTAAAAAAGAACGTGAGTGTGTATGGATAAGATTAAAAATTAGTCAAATTTAACTTTTTGTTCAAAACATATTTGTATATGTTAGCTTTTTTCTTACTTAATTTCTGACTAAAACTTATTAAAATGTTATTTATTAGAAAGCTTACTATAAACTAACTTTTCAAAGCTCAGCCAATAGATATAAATGCCAATCGATTTTCGAGAACCAATTCCAGAGAATTTCAAAATTCTGTCTGCAAATAAGCATCAACAAATGAAAGTAGATCAACTTTACCTTCCTGTAGATATTTCCAGTGGGTGCCCATCCCTTCTCTCTTCTGCAGCGACTGCAATTGCATATTCCTCGACAGACAGGGCAAGTCCAATTTTGATTCTGATTAACTTCTGTTACATTCTCCCCATACCTGAAAAAAATAAAGAGATGATTAGCTTCAAGTTCAGTTATTACTTTTATTTAGCCCATGTTTGACATACATTTTCTAAAGCTATTTTTTCTCCACTCATTTTCAACCGTACATTTTTCCAATAAACTAATTTTGCACGTGGACTTATAACTTTCCCTACTTTTTAACCACTTTCTCCCAAAAAAAAATCACTTTTCACAAACTATTCTCAAAAAATCTACATCAGGCCCTTAGTTGGTAACAACCAAAAACTGTGTTGTTTTGAGTTTTCTCCCAAATGTCAAGACAATTCCAAATAGTTAAACAATGATGGTGAGGAAGGAGAGTATCACTAAGGAGAGAGAAAATAACATATAAAATCAGAGTGCTCAAAATTGACCAAGGTCGAGATACTTAATGAGTACAAGGGAACGATAGGGCATCAGATATCTATCTCACCGGTACCACATTCTAGATACTTCTGCTCTCGTCATAATTAAAACAAGAATTTTTCTATGGTTGTAAAATAAAATTAAGCCTCTGTTTGGCTAATATATAAATGATTATTTATAAATCATTTTTAAATAGTCAAACTTCACTATGTTCGGACAAAGATCGAAACATATTCGGGCAGAAGTTTATTCACTCAAATCTATCCAATTGCTTCAACAAAATAACTCTGACCATTGACATATTCAATACCTACTAGAAGAAATATGGAACTGGCAAAGAAGGATACAGATATCACTTAAATATATTTGAAGGGAAGGAAACACTAGCTAATTGGTTGGCTGACACAGGCTATAAGGAGAACACTTTCAGAATATTGCAGCCTGGTGAAATCCAAGGTGATGTCATTTGATTCCTCAAGCTCAATCAATGGTCCAAATGTAAGAATTAGGTAGTTTTGTCATTTATTTGATTGTAAAATTGATTTCATTTTTTCATATTTTATTGCATTTGACCTGATGTTTGCTTTTTCGAATTATACCAAGATTTCACTCCTACAATTACTT